GCCCCCGCCCGCCCGCGCCAGGCCCGGGGGTCAGCTCCCGCGGCGCGCAGGGCCCCGCCGGGGGTCAGCGGAGGCGCTTTCGGCCGGGCGCCCGGGACCGTCGGCCGGTGGCGGGGAGGGCGCCTCGGGGAACGGCCGCTCCCTGGGGACTTCGGGCCGCGACGCCCGGGGTCCAAGGCCCCCGCCGGCTCCCGCCTTCTTTCGGTTGCGGAGCAAACTCGCTGCCCGGCAGTTCCTCCGGGGTGGCGCGGCCTCCCCGCGCGGGGCCCGGCCTCGAACCTGCGGCACCCGGGCCCCGCGGCGCGTCCGGCCCGCTCCACCCCTGCAGCCGCTTGGGCTGCACCCCGAGTCCCGCGGCAGCCCCAGGGCCGCCCGGCCGCCGCCCGCCCAAAGCACCGCACCACAACAGTTCACTCCCCCGCCCTCTTCGGGACAGCGGAAGTCCCGCCTCCAAGCGCCCATTGGCTTCATTTGTACCCTAGGCGGGGCCTCCGTCGCCGCTGGCGCGCCCCATTGGGCACCGCCGCCGCCAGTCTCCGGTGCCAGGCTACTTCCTGGACTCTGCTGGGATGGGCTCAAAGTAGAGAAAGTGGAAGAGGGAAGAGTTTCCCCGGCGAGGGAGGGGAAGCGGGCCTCAGACTCCCCGGCTCCAGGGAGGGATGGTGGCCCGCCACCTCGCAGGACGGAGGGACAGACTGTAGCAGCCGAAGAGCACGGTTGCGGGCGGACTGAAGCACCGACGAGGCGGGGCGCCGAGGGACAGACCTGGGGGAGGGGCGTGTGACCGTCCCGGGCGAGGCTCCGGCGCGGAGGGCCGCCTGGAGGAACGGAAGGGCAGGGCCCGAGCGGCCGCGCACCGAGGAGGGCGAGTCGGTGGAGCCGGACAGCAAGCCGTGCCTGGCGGGAATGACAGAGGGACGATCGCGGCCAGAGGCGTGAGGTGCGGAGCTTGGGGAGGGGGCGTCCTCAGGGGCTGGGTGCCGAGGTGGTGGAGACCTGGGCCGGGCCGCGACGGGCTTGGACGGCGCGGACGGAAGAGGGGAGGCAGGCGGGAGGAAGACCCGGGCTGGGAGACTCGAAGTCTAGAGCGGGTCTGGAGAGTGAGCTGGGCGCGCCGCAGGGAAGAGCGGCTGCGAGGAGACAGAGAGCGGGCCGGGGAGACCCAGGGCAGGCCCAGGTGGAGGCGGGCCTCCCCGCAAGTCTACCCGGGGTGCCTCTGCCCCAGGCCTCGCGGGCGGGCTAAGCCCCGGCGCCGGGAGTTGGAAGCCCGGGGTGCCGCCCCACCCTGCCAGGAGGACGGGCCCAGGGGTCCTGTACTCAGTCCGCCCGCAGCCTCGGGTTAGAAGGGCGAATGCGAATGGGAGCAGCTCAGAGCTGTGCAGTCACTTAGGGCCGAGGGCTGAGGGCGGGCGCTGCTGGGCGGGCAGGAGTAGAGGGCCTGGAAAGAGCTTCAGGTTTGGGTCCTGTTTAAAAAGGGATGAGATTCGCGTCAACGAGAACGGAAATGGGGAAAGCGGATTTAGAGGAGGAGGGAGGGAGGCGGAAGGGAAGGGGATTAAAGAAGAACCAAACTTTACAGTGTTATGTACCTGCCCCCTCTCCCCAAGATGAATGTAAACTGCACGTACCATGAACATGTACTGATAAAAATAAAGAAGAACAAGTAAAAAGGGGAAAGCTCCCCGTTTCCATGTTTAGAAGCAATCGTCTTGTGTTCTTAATTTTTCCTCAGTGGGCTTAAATGCATTTGTACCACTTCACCTACTAATTTCACACGTGGGACAGGCATTTTGGGAAACAGGCCTACCAGAGAAAATCCTAACCACAAGCTCATTAGGGGATTATTTGTAATAAAGAAAAATAGAATCCAGAAGTTCCAAAGGAAAGTGGTTAGGTAAACATCTAACATCACATCACATCCAGCTATAAACCCATCAGTGGATTAATCCAGTGTCACACTTAAGAATGAACCTACATTTAATGCAGGTTCAACATAAGAGTGTACACATACACACACACGAAATTCACTATTAACGGAGCTGAGTTGGAGAAGTGCTTTTTTATGTTAAGTAGAAAAATGCATAATATAAAATTGCTTGTGGGGCATGACGTGTTCATCTATATTTTTTTAAAAAAGAAAAATGCTACATGTACTGGGCATGGTGGTGCATGCCTGCAATCCCAGCACTCGGGATGCTGAGTCAGGAGGATCACCTTGAGTTCAAGGCAAGCCAGAACTACATGGAGAGACCCTGTCGCAATAAAAAAAAGAAAGAAAAATGCTATTTTTGCGTAAGATACACCAAAGTACTAATAGTGGTTATTTAGGGTGCAGGAATATTGTTGATATTTCTTCTTTTTGTTCTACCTATGCATTTTTTCTAATAGGCTATTTTTTCGCTTTTTTGGCATCTGGGATCAAACTTGGGACCTTGCACTTGCGAGGAAGGCGGTGGAACCACTGAGCTGAATTCCTGGCTCTTTTTTTGCTTTTACAGTAGAAAAAAATAATGGGGAAAAAAGCACACTTTTTTGGTTTTCTTTTGTCTCTCTCTCTCTTTTTAAAATTTTATTTATTTATTTGTTTTTGGTTTTCTTTTGTTTGTTTTTGTTTTTTGAGATAGGGTCTTGCTATGCAATTCAGGCTGGCCTTGAACTCACTATGAAGCCAGGTTGGCCTCAAACTGGCAGTGATGCTTCTGCCTCAGCCTCCCAAGTGCTGGGATTACAGGCTTGTGCACTACGCTTGTCCAAAAAGCACACTTTAATAGGAGTCCTCTCTCAGAGTTCATGTTTTCAAAAGTAAATTATTGAACATATTCTGTATACCTAAGTGTAAAGTTGGCTACAGAAAGAAGAGGAAACAATCTTTGCCCTAAAGGACACCTTCTAGCCGAGGAGTTCAGGTGTATACACAGAACAGAAAACAGATGGGTATCTGTGTATGGCAGAATGTGATGGTTCCAGAGTCTGTTGGTATCCATAAAAGCTCTACTTTCCCCAACATATACCTTGAACTTAGATATTTTCAAAAGAGTGTTTACATTCAGTGCCAGGGCTCTTTCTGTCTGCGCAGCTGTTTGAGCGCCAGCTCTCTCCAGCTGCAGGAGAGGGAGCCTTCCCCTCAGGGCCTCTATTTCCGTCTTAAGGTAGCGGCTGCTCCCCATACTTGCTGTTCCTGTGTTCTTCAGGGTTCCTTTTCTTTTTATCAGGCAACCCCTTATTCCTACAGCCCCGTTACAATGAACACATCCTTATACGAATAGTCACCTGTTCAGATTGCTGTGGGGTTTCTTTCTCCTGAAGACGTGGCCTGATGCTCCTGGCCCCTGTCATTTTGCAAGTGTATGTGTGTGCCTCGGTTCTCTTTATTTAATGTTACAGTGTTTCTTCCAGGACTGCTTCGTCACAAACTTTCCCTGTGCTGGGCAGTTCTCACAGTCGCTGTTTTCAACATTTGTTTTTCTTAGTACATGTTTGCGGTGCATGATTACTACATCCATCATGAGGCAGTCGTGTTTTGGATGGCTCGGGGACATTCCAAGTGCTATACTTGGTATGTGATAGCGCTGAGGCTGTTTGTAGGCCTTGAGATCAGAACTGGTTTCAGATCTGAGCTCTCCCCCTTACTTGCTTGGTACATTATCAGCAAGTCATTCCACTTCCAAAGCTTGATGGATGAGCAGTGACAGATAAATGCTTCATACAACACTGGGAACTTCAGCAATGGTTAATAACTCTTAGCTGTTATCACATCTCCAATAGTTGGATTTCTTTTTTGGGTGGTTCTGTATAAACATTCTTTACCTTTTTTTTCATTGTGCAGGGTTATTACTTTAGCAGGGCATCAGAAGTAGAATTGTGTGTAAAGTTTCCATGGTTTGCTGACCAGGCTGCCTACCCTACTGCTTCCCAAATCACCCTTCCCATCCGATCAGACCCCAGTGTGGAAGCTGTTCCCCGACAAGCCTCACAGAATCAGGCTAGACGCCTCTGCCAAGGGACCATGGTCTGCCCTTCCCTCCCTTCTGTTTGCCAGCATAGTCCAGCCTGGCCACTTGCTTAGTATTTGCTGAATTTGTGGGCCGATGGAGATTGGATAAGGACATCTGGGGTCGAGTGAGGAACTGCGTAGTGGTCAGAGCACTGATTCTAGCTCCAGCTGTTTCTAGTCAGGCTGTGCTCGAATCCCGGCTCTGCCACCTATTAGCCTGAGTCTCCTCATCTGTAAAATGGTGATGATAATAACCCCTTAGGGTTGTTCTGCAGATTACCTGTTAATAGATATAAACCAGTCATGCCTGGCATGTATTAGGTGCTCAGTAATCAGTAGTTACTATTATTGGCTAAATCAGTTGTCACTAGGTTTGACAAGTAACAGAAAAATCCAGAATGAGCTTAAATTTTCTCTTACCTTTAAGAATTCTACAGGCGACACTGTGACTTCTGTCGAGATGTCCCCTGAAGTGTCGTGTGCTCATGGGGGGGCTATTTGAAGGTGACTGGATCATGGGTGTGTGATACTGCATGAGTCCACTGATGGGTTTATAGCTGGGTGTGATGTTGGGAGGTGAAGCCTGACCACTTCTTGGCTGCCATGCGTGAACTCTCTTCTCTGCGATGCCGCCTTGCCTTGGAGCCAGACAGCCATGGACTGAAACCTCTACAAACCACAAGCCAAATAAACCTCTTTTCCTTCAGCTTGTGGGTGCCAAGTACCTGTTTTGTTCCAGCAACAAGAAGGTCACTAAGATGGTGACTAGGTGGTTTTCCTCAGCACACAGATCCCAGGGCTGCTTTTTATTTCCCTCCCATGAGGGACTTCCGTTCCCAGAATACTGGAGTGACCCAGATGGCTGCCGG